GTTCCGCGAAGTAACTACGGGGGGAGGGGATGGGCGCACGCCGATGGGGGGGAGCGTCGAAGGTGTACGATCTCGCAGCTGTCCGCAAGGGGGTCCGCGACCCCCGATTCGCTGGTTTCACGGCAGAAAGCAGCTGAGCTACCCCCATGCGCCGGCGACGCGCGAACGTTCACTCGCGCAACGCATACCGCGTCATCGTCGTCGTCGTCGTTGCATGTCCACCGTCTAGGTCTGCGATGGGGGGTATTTTGGCTTTCCTTCCCTCCTTCCTTCCTTCCGCGGCCCGGACCACGGGGCATTGTAGGAGTATGCGCCTCCCCCCTCCCCCTTCTTTCTCTTGCGCGGACCTGGAACAATCACACGTGCGAAGAAACCACCCCTCGCGCTACTACCTCAAAGGAGGCTCACGTGGTGGTGGTGGTATGGCGATAAAGTCAAACGACGACAGCTGATCCCGTCCCAAGGATATAAGTCAATAAGTACGTTGGATTCTACGCCGGCGCTACGCCGAGGCTCCGGGGAGGCGAGGGACTCGGGGAACGTCGGCCGGGCGATCGGTTCTTCGCGTTTTCGCGTACTCTCTTACGCTTTCTCTCTTTCTCTCTTCTTCAACCCTTTCGCGAGGCTGCTCCCGGGAAAGGTCGAATCGGGAGACCCCATTTCTCGACAAGTTTCCGGACACAATATAAGAGTCCTGTACACCGTAGAAATTCTCGACTTCAGTAATTTTTCATTTAATCTTCCTTAATTTTTTATCCGATTTTTTTCTTAATTCAATCTATATTCGTATATATCTTTTATCAAGCGTACCACTCGCTGCGATCATCCTTGCCTGATGACGTCGGAAGCGAGTAAACGGCGAGAATTCTTGCGTCATACGTTTAAGTAAAGAGATTTATCCGCAAAATGGCATTTGTGGTCGGTTCAGACGCATTTGTAAAATTAGACGGATCCTTCTCTTTTATTTGAACAATCAATGAACGGTCGTGAGACTAACAAAATCATGAGGAAAGAGGTCAGAAAGGGAAGTTCCGTGTCGAGTTAATTTACATAAAACATTTTTGAGACGTCTCAAGAACGTCTATAATATTTCTTACGGTCTTAGAATGTGTCTTAAAGACATCTTACGTCCCGATTTTGGATATTGTGCTGTCTGGGGTTGTGCTTCATTCAGACGTTGGTCCGTGGCGCAGCGTCGCGTGTGGCGGATGACGAGTCCCATCGCGACGACGAACCCATCGCTTCGAGGATCGCGTCTCAATGACGTTACAAATCCGACAAATAGTGTCTAAATAGCGACGTAACTCGGACGGAGGACTCGCCCGTCATTCATCATCGACGTCTTTCGGCGAAAATCCACATGTGCTCATTTTTGTGAGAGGAGAAGCGCTTCTCTCTCTCTCTGCTTGAGCGGCGTGTGTGTACACACGGAAACACGGCGAAAGGTGAATGCGCGAGGTCTCCACGGTCCTCCACAGGCCCTCCACGGTACATACACACATATATACGTATACCTGCCTATGTGTGAAAATCCTCGAAGAATGTGAGGGTGGCCCGAATGATCAGGTGAAGCATTGTGATTCGGCGGATGGAAAAAACGGGCCCGTCGGCATACCTGTCGCGTTGCATCTCTTCCGAGATCCTCTGATCCCGCAACAAGGAACACGCGCGCTCGGCGAAGTTGAAAACGGTGGAAACGAAAAGGCGACCCGTGTGGGATCTCCGTTCCTTTTTATTAACGTGAAACGCCCTAGGCAGATCGAGGCTACCTGGGCCCGCCCATGTTACTTTTCCGCGCATTTGTTTCTGTCTGCTTAATTGCTCCGCATTATGTACACGCATTGCATATACATGTGTGTGTGTGTGTGTGTGCATGTTATAGGTAGCTTGAACATTCTTCCCTTTCTACTTTTCCTTCTACTTTTTTACCTACTTTTTGTTATCTTCCTCCTACTTTTTTACCTACTTTTTGTTACTTTCCTCCTACTTTTTTACAATTCACCAATACAGCTTTCACATACGGGGTACCAGCTCGAAGTACATTTACCTTCAACGAAAGTGTCGCAGAAGTCAATTTGCGGAATGTGCGGTCGAGCAATGAAAGGAGATTTACTACGCGCGCGATTCCAGATACTTCGGCAACTTTCGGCAGAAGGATGTTGATTCCGTGACGGAACAGTCCGGAATCCCCGGCTTGGAGTTAACACCGAGTGCAATTGACAGTACCGAGAGTGCGCACCATCGCCGCGCGATGTAACGAATACGTCGCTGTAACGAATAACAAGGCACAGTCGAATCTCGGATTAAAGACGTGAGGTCAATTAAGGTCCGGTACTCGAGAGAGAGAGAGAGAGATAGATAGACATATCGAGAGAGCCGGTACCCTTTCGCACGGGAAAAAAGGACCTACGTGAGACAACTCGGGTAGGGGCAACATGGGGGGAGGAGGGACAGAGAACGAGGGTGAGCGATCAACGAGGATCGAATCCACCGTAGTGCACATGTGTGCGCGAGGACGCGCATATGTGCACTTGCGCACGGAAATTCAACAGTGCATACGGGCTCCGCACACGGCCCCCCACAGCGGTCGTCCTGTAAAGAGGTTACCGTACGTTCTCTCTCTCTCTCTCTCTCTCCTCTGCCGGTGCGTCCTACGGTTTAGGCGGGCCCTTCGCGGCCGTCCATTGGTCGCAGCCGGTCCCCACCAGTTCCCCGCTCGCTGTATAAAAGTAAAGGTCATCAGTGCGCGCCAGCATTCGGCGTTCGACCGGCGCGTTAGGCAGTTCCGTCGTCTGTTCGTTTCGCTCATCGGATCCTTCCCCGCCCGGTCATCAGTGTCCACGTGTCTTCCGTTAGGAGAGAAGAAAAGAAAAAGCGCGAAAAGGGAGACCTCTCTCTTTTCGACCCTCTTCTCGCAAAGTGCGCCTCGCCGTGTTGTTCCGCCGTGAATGCGCCCGGTGTGATCTGAAACCCCCCCCCAAAAAAAAAAACATGGTTCCATGCAAGCATTTCCATGCTTCCGTTGCAACGGATGTAACGAACTGTGACAAGTCCGTTGTGAACTGGTACCGTAGGTATGCATCAACCCGCCCGCCCTCTGACTCGCTTCAGATCGCGCGGATTTCGCGCGTTCGTCATCGGCGAGGTAGATCGGAGGCGCGAACGGAATGTGCCGACGATGTAGGATTCGCGATCCCGCGCAGTGTGTACAGTGTGTATTCGTGTATTCTGTGAGATACAGCTAGGGAATCTCAATCGTGTTCCGATGACTGACAGGATCGCGCTCACGCTCTCGTTACGCGTGTTATTACGACCGAACACTGGCGGCCCGTGTGTGACGTAAGCGACGAGTCTCGCAAAATTAGTCCGGAATGTGCCGACCGAACCAATTCTGAAGGGAGTTCGAGCAGAATGACCGACTTGCAATTTCAAGACAATGTTTTATACCCTAAATCTTTATCTATGTTACTTTTTTCTTATCTACTTCTATCTTTATCTATCTACTTCTTCCATCTATTCTATATATTCTACATATTGTATCTATTCTTTTACTTTCTTCCGTTGTACAGCAGTTTTTCTCGTCGATCGCAAATAGAACTCTTTAGCTTCGAGACTTCAAATCCAAGACAGTTATTCTCCACGTTTCTCGGTGTGAATCCTTAGAATGGCAATATTTTCACTCGCTGGAGTAAGCTCCCAACCTGTCTTTGGGGTGCTAAAATAAAAAAAAACCGCTTGTGATTGACGAAGCAAAAGCTGCTGTATAATAAAGAAAGTGGAAAAAAAATATATAATTTTCACATAAAGATTTAGAGTACGAAGCATTGTCTAAAAATATAAGTCAGCCATTCTGCGAGGCTCTGAGGCTGTAATTCTTGAAGGTTCTATAATATACCGGTCGATTTCACCGACGCGAATTACAGTTCGATCTCCAGTTCTTATCTCTTGCCTCGTTACGATATAGCACTGTGTCGAAGTGTTGAAGACGGACATTATTGCACAGATAGAACGCGCGGTGGTCGTGCGACGACACGTAAAACGTGGTCTACGATGGGTCAGTAGATCTATGTTTACAAAAAGTAAGAGTAAGAAATCCACCGATCACAGCCGATTATTCACCTTACATTCGGACGTACGAATTAGTCCATTTCTTATCCTCACTTCTCATAAATATATCCTACTGCCCATTGCAGATTACGCTTAACGAGTTGGATGCTTGCCATTTAATCGACACGAGCATCGTGCCGTCCTCGTTGCTCATTGAGCGTGGAACGAGGACAGGATGACGCTCGCGTCATTAGATGGAAAATACTCACGTTGTGTCGTCGAGAATTACCGAATTGGCGCGATGTCGGTCCGCCGGCGCCGCCGGCGGTCACTTCGCGCCGGATCAGCGCCACGCGGGCCGCATGCGCAGTGAGATCACCCCCCGTTTCGCGTCAAAGCGCTGATCGCGCGCCAACAGCAAGCGCGGGACGGCAGCGCGGGACCGGGCTGTCGCGGTGACGCCGTGATTCTCACGGGGCACTCGATCGTTCATTAGATCCCGAGTGACGCAACTGGGATACAGACCTTCCTTTCGAGAAACGACCGGTCCCCACGGAGGTCCCCACCATTTTGCATCGTGACAAATGTTAGTGCTGAATTTCTTCGGTCTGTGCGAGTCGTGCGCCGCGGATATTCGCGAGGGCCACGGGGTTAACGAAGAGCCCGGGAGAGAAGGTATCACGGGATATCTCGTCCCCCGAGATATCCCGAATTGTCGCCCGTTCATTGCCAACGGTATTTCGCATCATTCTGATTTCTCTTCTCTTTCTCTCGGTCTGTCTCTCTTCCTCGTTGATCGTAGTTAATGCTCTTGAGGTTAAGTCGTGCGTCACGTCTGACAAGTTCGCGCGAAAACGAGAACACGTGCGGCGACGTCGATCTCGTCGTCTCTGTACAGCGCCCCACCCCCCCCCCTCNCTCTGGTTTTAATTCTACCGTTCGTTTTCTTCCAGTATGCACCAGATGCTCTCATGCGTTCCAAGCAGAAACGAGGGCGTGCAGAGTGCGAAGCTACTGCTGTGCTCCGACTGGGTACAGTCTCGGTGTAGGAACTCGATGTTGGATAAGTACGACAACAAGGAGAACGACAGCGCCCTCTGCAACTACCAGTCATTCAGTCCACAGAGGGTGAGCGCGTTTTTTTTCTCGCGACTTCAGGAGAGATTCAGTTTTACGCAGATACATTTTGTTTCGTTGATTTTATCTTACTCGAGATATCTGTTTTTACTGGGTATTTTAAGTTTCCGGGAAATTTCCTTAATGAGATTATTACCGCGTACACCGGACGCTTCATACGAGTTCATTTTGTAATACAAGAAATGAGTTCATTTTGTAATACAGAATGAGTCACTTCGGATTGTTATTTAAAATGATGTAATAAGTATCGGTTTTGCAGAAGAAATCTTCAGACGACAGTTAAATGATTTTGATGAAGGAGCTGTGTTCTTGTCGTCTAAGAAATTTTTCTGTGAAATCGATATTTATTAAGTTACTTTAGATGGCGATTTAAAGCGACTCGCCCTGTGTATTACGTACTTTTCGTAAAACATTATGTTCAAAATTGCGTTTGCAAAATATTTACTTTTTTCTCATTCGAACGAAGATCCCCATTTAAATTTTCAATTTCGACGCTGATTTCCTGTTAATGACATTAGAATAACGATAGAATAATTTTTGTCTTTCACCAAGAAAGATTATTAAGTTACCATAAAATGCTTAAAAGAAACCTTGACGAACGAGAGGAACATATTCGCTCGGGGATAATGTAAAACGTAACGTAATTTAACTCCATTTAACGACATTTTCTCACGACGCACAGTGAAAAGCTATTTAACGACGAGACGTTGCTTCCGAAGCTCGCATTAAGGTATTATAAGTTACCGGTGTCGCGATGACGACAGATTCTATCGCGGCGTTGGGCACTGCGCGCCTACTACGGATATCCGTGATATCGCGAGATCGGGATTTTCCATGCATATTCAATACTTCGAACGGACATTGTACTCGCGACCGAGCACAGCTGTCTCTTTATTATCACGGGGCGACGTATCGAGGCTCGAACGGCTCGAAAGCCGTCTCTCGATTTGCATCGCTCGATCGCAGATAGCGCGGCTTCCGCGAGACGCGTTTCACCGCGCCGGGAAAATTGTAATCTCCTCGCATTCCGTTCACGTCGCTCTCGGATTTTTCATAATACATGCGTGACACCTTGCGCGTCCGGCTGACCGCTGGTGACCCCTGATCGACGGTAACCTGCCGCGTTTGTTTCCTCTCTCCCACTTCTCTCTCTACAATAATTACGTACCCGTGATTCGAGCGCGAGTGTGGCATAGCAGACAGCGTGCTAGTCTTTCGTGCCAGCGGTCCCCGGTTCGATCCTGATTTGGAAATCACGATATTTTTTTACGCTCGTTTCCTCTCGGAAAGAGTGGCAACCTACCGAGAGAGTATCTTCGCCATATGAATGCCTGTAAAAATTCGCCGTTCGGAACCGGCATTAAAAGGTGTGTAGGTCCCATAGATGATCTTGTGTTATAATCGGCGTGCGCACCACAACAGGTATATGAGAGAGAGGTCACCGCGCGCGGATACACGGGCAATAGGAGAAGGAAGGAATGATTCGTGCTGCGCTCTTCTCGTGTTTCCTTCTCTTCGGTCTGCCTTCGTGATTCGCCCCTGTGATAACAATTGCCGGAAACATCTATTTCCCTTTAAGAATCGGTCATTACGGTTTTCTCTCTAACTAAGTAAGCCACTGCGCAGAAGAGAAATTAGCATCAATTCAAGACTAATTTTCTAACATAGAAGCAAGACTATATCCGCGTTTTTACGATACGCTGATACACAACGAGAGAGGGCGCAAGGCAAAAAAAGCAGCCTTTATGTATTTAGCCGGCTCAAGTTCGTAAGACTGCGACAAAAGTGTGACTTAACGTTCGACAAGTTTCCGTCGGCCCGCGACACAGCGCGTCCTCCTCCTCACGGGCGTAACTTCTGTTTAAGAGCGTAAAGAAGACACGATGGCCTCTGGAGGATTCCGACCCGAACAGCCAGGACAGCGGTTACGGGGCGAGCGACAACAGGGAGGAGAAACGGCGGTGCGACGGGTTTCAGTTCGCGGAGCCGTCCGGTGTGCCGCCGCGGCGTATGTCCGTGGACTCGCGCAGCCCGGTGCAGTCGCCGATGCGCTCGTCGCCGCAGCAACCGAGGGCGGCCGCGCGCTCGCCCTTCATGCGCCAGTCCTCGGGATACGAGAGCCTGGTGGACGACGGTTTCACCGAGCTCATCGACATGGAGACGATGGAGGATACGGCGCATCTGCCGAGCGGCATCACGTCGCTGCTGTCCGGCGACCTGGTCGGAGGAGCCTCGACGATGGAGTACGACGTGTCGACGACCCCCGAGTTCCCCCGCACCGTCACGAACCGACTGAGACGGTCGTTGTCGCTGTGCGACCAAGACGTCTTCTCGCGCTCGTTGTCGAAGGTGCGCACCTGCCTGTTCCGTTCGCCCGGCGCGACCTCTTCGACGGCGATGCTGCTCGACCCGAGCGAGATGAAGCCGGTGTCGTCGCTCAGGACGCCCACCTTCCGCGGCGTTGAGACGACGTCGTCGCCGCAGTCCGTCAGCTGCAAACGGCCGTCGGAGCTGGACTCGCCGGGGTCGGACGTCAGGCTGAAGAAGTTCCGCGCGTCGAAGAGCTTCTGCCTTAAGGCGACGTCCGAAGCGACGACGATGACACCGACGACGACGAGGAGGAGCCAGAAGAGCGCGCCGCTGCAGAGGAGCATGTCCGAGACCGAGGCGAGCATAAAGTCGGCGGTGCTCCGCAGCGTGACCGACTCCGACCTCACCGGCGACTTCAGCAAGCCCTGCATACTGCCGCTCGCCGCGGGCTACCACCAGGACCTGAAGTGCATCACGCCGACGACGCTGGCGGCGTTGTTGCGCGGCGAATTCAACGACCGTGTCGGCTCCTGCAGGATCGTCGACTGCCGTTATCCGTACGAGTACGACGGGGGCCACATCGAGGGGGCGATGAATCTCTACAGCAAGGACCTGATCGAGCGGCATCTCTTCGATCCCCCGAACACAGTCGCACCCCCCAAGATCCAGCCCGACACCGACAAGCGCGACATACTCGTATTCCACTGCGAGTTCTCGTGCGAACGCGGACCGAATCTCTCCAGGCTACTGCGCAGCCTGGACCGTCAGCGGAACAAGGAACACTACCCGGCGCTGCACTATCCGGAGGTCTACCTATTGCACGGCGGTTACGAGCGGTTCTACAAGGAGCAGAAGGAGTTCTGCACGCCGCAGGACTACAGACCGATGAAGCATCCCGATCACGAGGAGGACTTGAGGCAATTCCGCAGCAAGAGCAAGAGCTGGCAGGGCGACAAGTCACGGCTGAGCGGTCAGACAGTGCGGACGAATCTCAAACGTTTAGGTTTTTAGAACCGACACCCGTCGCCGTCGAGACACCCACCGAGTCCTCGCCTCAGCCACACCCCGGGCGTTCTCGTCCGGCGAATCGAACGCTCCACACACACACACACACACACACACACACACGGAACATATAGGCCGTCGGGGTAAAAACGCGCGCGCTATGCGCGCGTCGATAAAGTGCAAACGACGTAGAGAGAGGGAGAGAGAGAGAGATTCGTCCTCTCCATGTAGATTTTCCTTTAGACACGCTCTTTGCGCTTATGACTGACCCGGGGAATTCTCCCCCCGGGTATATATATCTTGTACATATTAAATCGTCGTGTTCGCGCGAGCACGGGTAGACTCTAATCGACTTCTTAGTACAAGGAGAGGAAGAGAGGGGAAAGCTTAGAAATGCCTTTAATATAATATCGCAAAGCCCCGCTCCGCAATAGCAGGGAGCGGTAAGACGGTGGTTGGTCGGCTGTGGTTGGACAACCAGCTTTACCGCTGCTGCGGGAACGGGCTTGATAACACACCTTTGATGAAGACGACGAGAACTGTTAGGCTATGATGACGACGAATTATTATTTCCCGCCGCGCATCACGTTCGGGCCCGGCTTTTGTACATAGACGAAGAAATTACAGGAATTCTAGATCGTACAATTCGCGGTCGCTCTTTAATTAAGTACGACACGTACAATCGGACATGCAATAACTCCGTGAGAACCCGTGGGAAGGCAGGGGGGATGCGGGTGCGTATCGTGAAGGTGGAAACGAATCCTCAGTTTCTGAACATAGTTCGCGATTCGGCCCATTTGTGTACATACGAGCCTCAAACGAGCGACCCAATCACGTCGATCTCTCGGTATCGATATTGCGCTTCTGTCGCAACTTGTGACCCCGAAGCAAGTGCTTAAAAACGATCGATGCTGTGAATATATGAAATAAAATTATAACTTGTTGCAATCTCGTGATCAATATTATATTATTAATTAGTACACACGACGCACGGCGGATTAACTCTTAAGTATCTCGCGCCCGCTGTCGTAAGGATCAATTGTAAAGATCAATTTTTCTTTCGTTTTCGTATATGTTTTTTTTTTTCTTTCGCAAGAAAAATCCGATCTCTCGCGTCGAGATCTCTATATTATTAAATCCTCAGCCTCCGAGGATTTAACGTATCAGGATCTGCCTTACTAGAAAGGTATCCAGTGCCGCTAACACGTGTCTGTATAACTTTTTAGCACGCGCGAGCACTTGAGGTTAATCGACCGACTATGTGTATTCGTAAGATGAAGATTTATCGAGCAGAAGTGATATAAATATTACTAAAATGTGCAAATCATTTGTTGTTACATTGTCTAAAATTATTACCACGTTACATAGATAAATATACGCTATGCAATATACAACTGCGACGGGTCTCCTTCACATCGATCCGACTCCTTCGTTTTCCTCACACGCCGCTTGCATCCTGCTTATTGTCCTGCGCTCGGCAGGAAAAGCTGATTACCCAACGTGTTTTGTGGTATTTACATTCAGTAACGTGTATCGGTATACTAACATTTCATATCGAAATCCACAAATATCGTTTATTATACCGGTATTATGCAAAATTTCGATACGATGACGGATTCGGACGTTCGACAGCAGAATTTTTGTGTATCATAAAAACATATTTATAACACCGTTGTAATTTTAAAATATATCGGTGTGTAAACGATACCGTTATAATATTACTACGCGCGACAATTCCGGCATTCGATCCCTGACAGAGCCGAGATTCATCGGGCTCGATTCAAGTCATCGCCATTGCGACCGCGGTCGGCACGCGAACGCTTCAATTCCCGAGAACAAAACAAGAACGCGAGATTTCGCCTCGGAGAGATCAATCTGTCGCGAGTGATAGTACGAATTCCATCTGGCCGGCGAGATCCTCCTCTTCGCGTGGACATTCGATCGCATTTTCGCAAACGGGAGCGAAACGGCGGCGATGGAAGACGAGGCTGTCTCTTCGTCAAAAATCACGCCCGTCGTCACGTTGAGCGACGACGCGCTGGATTTGGAGTCGCCGAGCCGCGGGATTCTCAGGTGTTACGCGGAGAAACGCGACCTGTTGTATCGCGAGGAGAGCACGCGAGACGCGCTCGATCTCGAGAACGTATCCACGAGCTGCACCGACACGTCGGATGACGAGGAGGAGGAGGAAACACCCGAGCGATTGTCGGCCGACATCGAGGAACTGGCGAGCCGGCTCGTGACGGATGCTGAATCGTCCGTCGATTGCAAAAGAGAACCGGCGTACAGTATAACATTATTGCCGTAAATTGCGTCTTCAAAGGCACGGAGCCGCTTGCAACCCTTAGCTCTTTTCCGTGGTCGTCCTGTCCGATGATGTCGGAAGCGAGAAAACGTACGTTCAAAATTTCCGTGAGATACGTCAAAATCGAAGGACACGCTCGTGTAACGGCGCTTGCGATCTTCCGGATATTTTTCTCTTTACTCCGACGGTCGATAAACAATTTTATTATTTACACGACACGCAACCTTCCTTTTTAGCCTATCTCTTCTTATGATTTAACGTCGCTCAATTTAACGTCAGTTCAACAAAAAATCCATCAACACGACGTGATTCACATATTTCGCAGTCCTGCGAGAATCTTCGACCTAGATTTTCTCGCTTCCGACGTTATCAATCACGTTCGCTCGCGACGAAGAAACGGGGGTCCTAAAAGACGCTTCGGAGACGTACGGTTTTCTGAAATTTGCACCTGCTTCGGTAAACAAATTCACTATTCACTGGCACAGATCCGTCCTTCAGGAGCGCACTCAACAACTTCGATTAGAGATGACGGACCTTCGCGAAGAATTGAATCGGGAAACAGCCCTTTGGCGGAAGGAGAAGGAGGAATTTCAGTTTTTGCGCGAGCAAAGCGACGCTTTCGCGTTCGAGGAGGCGGCCGCAGCCGCGCGGGCCGCGGCCGCGGCTTACGCCATCGAGTCGCCGCTCTCGAGTGATCTGAGTAACGATTCTGTTTATCGTTGTATCGTTTAATTAACAATCATCCCCGGTAGAAACCTTATAAGAGTGTAATATTATCAGACGTAATATTCTAATAATATTTTAATAATATTATTTCATATTATTTTAATATTGTATATTTTTTAAATATTCAACTCTACGTGTACATACGAGGGTTCATCCAGAAATAAGGTTCCCATCAATTTTACAAATAGACAACACTGTTTATTCTCATAGAAATTTACGTCGTTGGAAAGATGAAACTTTGCTCTATTTTTCTACAAATGAGAATAAACAATGTTGTCTATTTGTTAAATTGATGGGAACCTTATTTCTGGATCATATCGTATATATATAATTATAGTTTAAAAAATTTTTAATGTATTGAAACGCATGAATGAGACACTGTTGATAATATCGCTCGTAATCGTCGTAGCAGTCAATAGTGTTAATGTTAACAGAGTAGTCGAAAAGGTACGATCGAACGATGTGCGTCTGATCTTGTCCATCTGGTGGCGATCGCGCAGGTAAAACTGTGGATGTCACGTCCGAGCAGAGCGTCAGGGAGCTCGCGATACTCGAGTACGAGAAGAACCTCGCCAAGTATCAGGACCCGTGTTCCCTGGAGCAAGCGGAACGGCGCTACAACGCGTACAAACGCGCGCTCGTCGACGCCTACAAGCAGAAGCTGCTGGAAGTCGAGCGACTTTGCAATGAGGAATTGGAGAAGATACGCGAGAGCGCCAGCTACCTGCAGTCCTTCAAGGAGATCGCGTCGCAATGGTCGGTGAGCGAGAAGGATCGCGGTGACTCGAGCCGGCACGATCAGGCCGACGGCGAGCAATCGAAGATCGCCGAGGCGAATTTCGAGCAGAATAACTGGCGTCCCAGACTCGCCAGGGTCGACAATGAGGTCAACATGTCGCCGGAGATTTTCTCCGCCTGGCTGAAACGAGAGGACGCGACGTAGGGGGCTTTCCCGTAGGGGCGAACAAATATCTGGGAGGACAACCGGGAGAGAAAAATATCTGAAAAAGAGAAAAAACCAATCTCGTAGGTATTATTAACGTATTTACTTACCAACTTATTTTTACACTGATCGCGAAAGAAAACATTCCCAGATGAGAGAATACACGCGCGTACGTTTTCCTAAATTTGTAGCTTCTCGTGGGCGAGTTTTTGTTCTGTTCAAGTGAAAGAATATTATGTTACATTTGTTGTATCACCGCGTTATATATTTTCCCGAGGAGACTGGATTATTCCTCTGGATCTGAAAGAATCGATACGATCTCAGCTCGAGAAACTTCCAACGGTTGCGAAATAAACGTTCCACTGTACGGGACCATTTTTCCTCGTATCAATCTCGATTTTACAGGCTTTATATCCTTCGTTTTAATCAGATAGATGATCCTCCCCTCTGTGGTCGGATAAGCTACAGTGACGGATGGAGTTCTTGACCGAGAGAGCACTCAGATCTCGCCCCGGCAATAATTAAACCCAATCAAACCTAATTCTCCGTGCGCCCATATCCGACAGGAAATGTATCTTACATGCGCGCAAAAGAAGCGAGACCTTTTATTCGGCATTGAAAGAAGAAAGAACGATTGTACTTACATAATGTGTAAGCTTGTAAGCATGACGAGTGTCATGAAGAAATTTTTATTATTCGCGTGATACAAACTCTCGTCGAATCTATAAAACGAATAAAAAAAGCTGTTGCTTCGAGAGTCACTGATTTCAATTTTTCATTTCGTCCTCGCATTTGTAAGATCGATACGGTCTGCTTTTCGAGCTAGCGTTTGCCAGCATCTTCTGAAATAATAAAGAAAATCGGAATTATTTCACGAACAAATTTAACGGATTATATATTAACACATTGTTGACCGGTCACGAGTTAACTCGTGTCTTCCTGCTCAAACGTTGCCGACCGGCCACGAGTAAACTCGTGATCGATGCAAGATACATTTGCAAAACCTGTTGTGTACCATTACACGTAGGTGATTGCTACACCGTTTATCATACCAAAAAGAAATTTTGAAAGTTAAACATTAAATAAAATTTATTGAAATTTATTTATATTGTTTCACTTCCACATCCAATTACGAAATAATAGCCGATGACATGAGATAAATTCTAAGTAAAATCGCCGGTCAACAATGTGTCAAAAAAGTACTAGGAACTTTGGTTTAAAATTGATTTTTAAATGAAAATGTTATGATAATTATAAAAAACAATTTTTTTAATAATACCTGAAATGCATCCTATTTTACGATTTTTAAAAAATTCGTAAAAATTTATTTTCAAGTAAAAAAAGTTATGATAATTATTAAAAAACATAATTTTTTTTCAATAATACCTAAAATGCGTCCTATTTTACAATTTCTGAAAGTTTGACAAACATTGCTTCATCAATAAAAATGTTATGACGATTTTAGTAACGTGCAAGTTTGCCAAAAAACGGTGCGGTCCCAGGCGTATGTCTTACAGATTTCTTAGCGGTCGGCAATGTGTCAATACCGAGGATAAATCTCATATATATGTGGAACATTTTGGCCACTTTAATACTCACGTTCGTGTATATCTGACGATTGTGGCAACGCGGTGTCTCGTTTGACACGAAGACGTATCTCATTGACGCGAGATTTGGCTTTCTCCAATAAGGCTCGGCTCGATTCGACGCGCTTTGCCACATCAGCCAGTAGTATCTTAACGAGCATGAAATTGCAAAATCTCTCATTTAACGATACATTCGGCAAATTTCGTACGCGATTTGTAACGTAATTCCGCGTGGCGGCTTACGTCGATTTCCGTCGTCTCCGTCGCCGATTGATCCTCGCTGCTGAATATCTCGTAGATATTCGCCAGGAATGAAAATGGTTGTCGCGGGCTCTCTTTGATTCTGCGTAGAGAATCTTGCAGATCTTGTGAGGACATCCCGTCGATGTCGTATGACGGAATAGCAGCCGTCCTCTTGACATTCCGTGCAAGTTTGTGTGCTAACTTATCGGTGACGTCGCGACTTGCATTCTTGTCAACGTGTAACTTTCCGACCATTCGCGGCAACGTTTCAGTGGAATTGATCCTCTTAACGCGAACGGCTTCATTTTTCCCTTCGTCGAACATTCGGCGTCCCTTCGACAATGGAGATGGCGAGAACGTCGACCACCTGGATTTCGCTTGTCAATTGAAATTATAAGAAGAGTTGATTTAATAATCATTAAATGCGAACGACAATTTATTCATAGAATCCTTCCGGCTTCACCGCAAAATCCTATATGTCGGACAAATTTGATCCAATCACAGAGTTGGGCGAATAATATGGTTACTATGGTCACATGTTTGTTCAATTTCATAATAGGTGTATATCGCATACTGTACCTAAATGATGTAGCTGTATAAGATTCATCGTAAATCACGGTGCGGGTAATGTCGAATAAATGTAAAAACATGTTTATAAAATCATCTTCATTTAACCAAGCCGACATACACTTGAAACGAGAAATGAACAATTATACGAAGAGAATCTCATAACAAAATTTGTTAGGCGTCTTACACATATATTTATGGCTTTCAACTTGTCGATCGCATAGAAAGCTGAAGTCTCTTATCTTAGTCTAAAGTAATATAAATTGTCTACCTACGATACAATTGCACAGTTACGTCTACCTCACAAATATTAAAGCTATCACAGTTCCTCCTTCTTTTTTTTCTCCTTCGTTCCGATCCGTCTGAGAACTGATTTTCTGAAAAAGACTGTGAAGCTAATACGGAGAGTTAACGGTCTTATATCTGCGTCTTGTAGAAAAGATGGAATTAATTTTCGATATTTGTAACAAACGGAGAAAGTTCGTTGGAACGATCTAGTTATTGGCGATAAGTTATAGAGTATGGAGACTTTACGATCTGTCGGTTATTGCATGTTGCGTTATGTGTATTGTTTGTTCTTCCTTTAATATATAATCCATTACAAAGAAACTGCAAAACTAGCTTTTTACATGTACATAATATATCACAGCCTAAAAATAAATAAGTCTCGCGTCTTCGGGATTCTGCTCCACGGGGCAGTAGGGGCATTTCAACCTTGAAACAAATTGATTTCTTTTAAAAGGTGACTTCACTGCTAACGCACTCGAATCTCGCCACATATGGAAAACTTACTTATTCGCGCTGGTCAGCTTGTTTAACGCGTCGCGTGATATAACATGCCCGCAGACCAGCTTCATCGGTGGATTACTTTCTGTACTTTGTTGTCTGAGAATGGGACAGGCGAAGACAGAATGATAACGACCCTGCTTACCCAAGTCTATTTCAATCTGAACACAGAGAAACATTCATAAAAGTTTCAACCATCGATTCAATTAGTACGTATACATTCATATATATTTGCATATATATATATAAGACATAAGCATTACACGTAAAACCTCTTGATATCATTGTTCTTATAGTAAACAATACAAATGAAATAATAACGGAATGAAATGCTTTCAAATGATATTAAGTTCCGTTAGGTCTCGTTAATTGTGCGGGGCGCGTGAACTTGAAGCTTTTTATCACCGTTTCACTTCGCTCTTCTTAAAGAAGGTAAGTTTTGTACGGATTTAATTTTTGTACGGTCACCGCCGGCCGATATTTCTTCTCTCGTGGAAAGTTGATGTACATAATATATCGTAGCTTACGGGTAATTCGTCTTTGCCGCTCCAAATGCCGGTCACTTGTCTTTGTTGCATCACCTGTTTGATATTTAACAAGGCAGGTAACGCGGTGCATCCTGCATTGATGCTGCAATCAAACAATGTTTCGTTTTACAGTCACGGTCAAGATTATCACGGTTGATTTCAGGACGAAGGAAGCGTACCAAACGGAAAGCGGGCTGTCAACACTTAAGCCTAGTAACATGCACGCCTCCTTGGTAAAAACATCGTGTATCTCGAGCCACAAGGTTGGATCCAACAAGTGACTGTAGGGGGACGACTGGATCCCGTGTGGTAAATAAAGCAGGGTCCCCATTAAGGACTGCACCTCCTTCTCGTGGCGACCGACGAATTGTGTGAGGTTTTGACGAGCGTATAATATTGCCTCCGTCTGTTTACAGGGACCCTGTTGAACTAGTCTTATAAAATGTAATCGGTGCAGCTTGAATTCGAGAGAAGAACTCTGGAACAGAATGCGACAAATTGACAGCATGCCGATGGATAACTGCACGTACGTGTCTGTGAACGGGAGATACTTGCTTGCGCCAACAGTGCCTCCCTATGTTTCTTCGCCCATTCTAACGCCGGCTCGAGATTCCTCTGTTTTAAGCAATCCAGTATGAAATTTAGTTCCGTGAACGGTTCCTTCCTACCTTCATCGGTCTTGATTCCAGCTTCCTGGAACGAATATTACCGATTATAATACCGTGTACAATTAAACTGATCTAATATGAGGTAGGGTCAGTTAGGGCTTCAGCAGAACGGTGATCATTTTGAGACAACGTTGTCTCGAGCCGATAACTCCAACCATTCTGCTAAGACCCTTAAACATTCCGGAGCATTTAAACAATCCATATAACAATGGCGTCAAACTCAGCCTATAAAAGCACTTCGACGCACTCGAATAAATCACTCACAATCTTGCATCAGATGACACACTCATGGGGGAAATAACTGCGAAACTTTCTCTCGGTGAGTTTCGACACGCATCTTGTAACAAGAAGACGTATCTTCTAGCAACGACCGAGGAACAAATCGTTCTACTGTACACGGGATGCTGCGAAACTCGTGAAGGAAAAAGTGTCACCAACCATTCCTTCCACGTGTGTACACGCATATTGACACGCAAATCCGGCATGTAAATTATGGTAAGAGAGAGAGACTCACCGCTGCTAATTCATCGGCGATATCTAACATCCCCTGGCGATAAAAGTGTTGGCAGATTACTTGATTCAGAAGATGAGACTTCTCCGGTCCGCAGAATACATCTTCTCTGCTGGTGCTGGCGAAATCGGCGATGAAATTCCTGTCTATCGCCTTGCCCACTTTGGAGACTGTGCTGTGCAAGTCGCGGTGGTCCGTTGCCAACTTTATCACAGTATCGCGTACTTTCGTCATCGCTTGCTTCAGTACTTGCACCTGCTCGGGTGTCACTTCATTTCCGGGCGGTGCTGCAAATGAACGACACACTTGTACGAGTCGAAATGAATTATCCGTCGGGATTCATCGCGAATGATTTCTCCCGCATCGAGTCGCGCTGGCTTAACGCGCGACGAAAACATGGAGGGAGCGAGGTAAATAACGGGCAATCCATGGGCTCTGTTTGGAGAGGTTAGGAATCCTTCGAGCGAACGCAACACGCTACGGGCGCGCACGCGAATGAAGAAATTTCGTTCCACCGAGAGATAAACTTAATCCATTGACGATCGGAGGTCGGGAGCTTCGCGAATCGGCAAGATTCGGCCGCTGAACGATCTCAGTGGCTCTACTGACATAAGGACAAAAGTGTCGCACAAAGGATCTCTCGGATACCTGCCGCCGACGTGTCTCTCACCTGCCTCCAAATCTCTCTTGAGAGACTCGATGTGACTTATCAGATCGCACAGCACCGTTTCCGCATGTTCGTTAATAGCACCGAATTTCGAAAGAACTTTGTCCACTTCGCGCTCAACAGCATTACACGCCTCCATTATTATTGCTTCTCGCGATTGACGTTTGCGCGTATAGAAAGAGAGAGAGAGAGAGAGAGAGAGAGAGGGAGAACGAGTGAGTGGGAGGGAGAGAGGGGGAGCCTCAGGCTGTGTTCTAAAATTCGCTCGCAGCGCTGAGTCTACAGTTCGTGTCACGTATACTGTAGACCTTCAGCCGTTGGCGGTGAATACTGGAAACAGTACAGCCTGAACAGCTGATGCGAAAACTCGTAGCGCAGAATTTGATATTTCTCGTAATGTTGAAGTGAAAAGAGCAAACCTGATTCGCGTGCTTCTTGGTTGCTAATATGCTTTTTATTTCAACAATATTCCACAGTTACAGAAATGGATAACAATTATATAAAGGATGTTCTCTTCTGGACTCTATTATATCAAACGAAATGAAATGACACTATGTAACAACATAGCATCACAATAATAATTATTATATGTATAATAATATGATATTATTATTACCATACCGTATGTGACGTAGTACATTAATAAATATTACTTTATACATAACATATGCGCATGTAACACAACAAAGCTAAAAGTAATTATTACATTGATATGCGAGCATCTCGAATGTTGACAAACGTTTTGTACGCAAGTTGTTTAGTATATAGTTGCTTTGAAGAATCATGGTTCGTGGAGATAGAGTTCAGATTATATACGCTCTTATCATACAAATTATCAATGTACCGACATTTCCTTTCTTCTTTTCTCTCGAACTATATAGCTTAATCAAAAACATTAATTACGCGTACACACATGTCAGAGAGAGAATGGATGTATACATATTTAAAATTAAATGCTTCCATGGCTACGATATCTGGTTATCCTTCCTTGATGCCGTTACCCTGCAACAAATTTCCACATCATTCACATTTTACATACTCGCATTCGCTGAAAAAAATCATACCTGTAAAGGTAAATTATTATCTACCTCAATTGCGTTATCCTCATACCAAGATAATGATAATAATGAGAAAACTGATATGCGGTAAATAGCAGACAGTATGATTACAAAATAGGCATAGCTGTCAATAATTGTTGACATTACCCATTCTCGTGCCATAATCCGTATTGTTGCGCCGTCCAGTTTGGGCCCGATTAATGGATTCATCTGCGCCATGTAGCAGCACAGCCAACTGCACATAAAATTGTCTTGTTGACAGACCAGTGTGCGAATTACCGGTGACAGCAAACTAGTATCACCAGTCGTTACTCGAAACTTGTTTCACGTCGGATTTGAAAGACGCGAACTTTCCAAACGGAATCGCAGTCGTAAATATAATGTCACGCGTGTCGTCTGATTCAACCGGAATATTCTGATCTACCTCTGAATCCAGATCTACGTATCTCAAGCATAGTCTACAATAGGCAATAGAAGTATGTTCAAGTATGCAAGCGTAAGAATAAGAAGTTGATCGATCACATTCAGAAATAAGGAGAATAATCACCTGCGATCGGTTAACTTCTTATAAACATACTCCCACTCTTCATTGCGGACTACTGTTTCATATAAACCAAGTTTCAAACCGAGCAGTAGAAACGTGCGGACACACTGTACTTACAACAACCAGCATGTGAAAGCTGTCATCACCAGTATCACTTGAAGTATCCTGGAAACACGTCAGTATACTTAAAAAAAACATGCGACTGATGGGTGGACGATTTGACAGTGACTTGTCCTCAAAGTTCACCCCGAGTTCGGTGCAACTTCCGACCGACTCGGAATATCGCGCTTTTCAGGAGAGAGAATCATCGCCTTACGTGACGGAATGACGTTTGACGTAAGGCTGACCGAGTGTGCGTTAACTTCAATCGAGCACGGTAGCGAACACCGTTACAGAGGATGAACGAACAAGGACGTTGATCTGTTTACCCGCGGTTCGGCCCCTTAGGAATGAAGAATGGCAATCCTATTCCCACGATGCCCCAAATGATCGTGAAAGCCAATACAGGTATGATGGCCGCTGCCATCTTTCTTCCTTCCCGATCGTCCGCTTGTGACCTGTCGAAACTCGCGGGCCGAGGAAGCCGAGGAACGTGCGAAGCCGTGCGAAATCGTCGGGACCGTCGGGATCAGGGAGGATCACATGAGAGATCTTCACGTGACACACCGATTCGGTCGGAGAGCTTGTGTGCAACGTAGATGCGCGACACGGAACACTCAAGTGTGTGTCAATGCCTGCCGCTTGATCGCCGGTCTGTTCTTTTTAGCTGCACCGCCGAGCACTGGTGCAGCCGAAGGGAACGGACCGTGTGGATTCATACCGTGCGCGCTTCACACGGTCTGTTCCTTTCAGTTGCGCCGACGAACGACGGCAGGACAGGTTGAAGTGAGACGAGTTACATGTTTTCTCGCTTCAACTTGCCGCACTGTATACATTCAGCAGCGCAGCTATAAAGAACGGACCAAGTTTAATGCGGCTGTGAAATCAGGCCTAAAGTATGAATGACGGGTGTTTTGAGTCAAATTGTGTTACGTCGCGCACGTTCGCTCGTAAACACCGTTTCACGTTACTCATCGAAGCTAAGTTCGCGTTGTGAATCCTACATATCAGGGAGTGTGCGTCACAATTATTACAGCCGAGAAGAAGAGGAAGAAGAAGATAAGCGGTCCAAGAGCACAGTCGGGCAGGCTGAGATCAACACGAGCAGTCCGCATCCCTATGAGGCAAAAAATGCGAGCAGGAATAACACTGTTCTTCTGAGTTTCGATCCGAAGGGCTCAGCCGCTTAATCTTGACGTCAGCTTCATTTTCTCGATACTCTGCGATCCTGTCCGAAATGGAGCGTACTCAGTAGCACGTACCTGATACGTTTCCCTTGTGCGTTTGATTATTGGTCGAATAACCTCGAAACGGTATGTGACATGTAACGAACACATCGGGTGTGTGCTTGATAGTCCGTGACAGACGGATCGTGTGGTGCGAGTCCAGCGTATTGCCGTGCGCGCGACCCTTGCTCTGAGGCGGAACAGCTGATAACGGTGAACCAGTGCCCCGTCGAGGTGCTTTTCTTCTTCTGCCGAACACTGTGGGAAGAGAACATTATTCAAGATGAAGAAAAAGGTAGCGAGAAATATATATATATATACACATATGTATGTTATATTAATATATGTATGTATGTTATAATATGTTATAGTATATTATATTAATAATATATATATGTATGTATGTATATTATAATATATATATATGTATGTTATATTTTGTATATTTTGAAACATTTTCCTTTGTATCTTATCTTATACTTTTTATCGAGCGGATGCAGCATGGGCTTTCTTATCTTTCCCCGTTTACATTTGTATCTTATAAAGAATTTGGTATTTTTTCCATTTTATTTCCGGATACTTTTCACTGTATACAAACTCCATGTGTGTAATTATGCGTTATTTTAAAGGTCCTGTTAATGGGAAAGAGCGGGTCGGGCAAGACAAGTATGCGAAGCATTATATTTGCAAATTACATCGCTCGAGATACTCATCGTCTGGGGGCGACAAGTAAGCTATATTAACAATGAATAAGTAAGTGAGAGAATTAAATTCACACGAAAAGATGGGTTAGCTTGATGTTAAAATACAATCATTCTTTTCATTTACTATATACCGTGACAACTGCATGTTCCTATAGAGCTCAACAATACGATAACACAATACAATGTTAAACGTGATAATAATACGTAGGACGCAATTTGTTACAGTCGACGTGGAACATTCCCACGTTCGCTTCCTCGGCAATTTGGTGTTGAACCTGTGGGATTGCGGCGGCCAGGAAGCATTCATGGAGAATTACTTCGCGTCGCAGCGGGATAACATATTCAGGAACGTCGAGGTGTTAATTTACGTTTTCGATGTGGAATCGAGGGAGCTGGACAAGGACATGCATTATTATCAGAGCTGTTTGGAGGCCATTCTGCAGAACAGCCCGGAGGCGAAGATCTTCTGTCTCGTTCACAAGATGGACCTCGTGCAGGAAGACCAGCGCGATTTTATATTCAGGGAGAGGGAGGAGGATCTGAAAAGACTGAGCCTGCCTCTGGAATGTACCTGCTTCAGAACCAGCATATGGGACGAAACATTATACAGGCGAGTGTGTGCACACTTCCGACATTCCGCTCCCCGCGTCAGGTATCAACGATATTATCATTATTACAGAGCGTGGTCCTCCATCGTATACATGCTGATCCCCAACGTGAAGGAACTCGAGCAGAGCCTGAATCAATTCGCCAACATCATCGATGCCGATGAAGTTCTCCTGTTCGAGAGGGCGACCTTCCTGGTAATAAGCCACTGCCAGCGGCAATTCCACAGGGACGTGCACCGCTTCGAGAAGGTCTCCAACATAATAAAGCAGTTCAAGCTGAGTTGCAGGTAAACGCACGGGGCGGAGGAAATATGCGAGACATGAGCAGTCATCAATACCGTTTCTTATTCCCGCAGTAAATTAGCGGCGCAGTTTCAAAGCATGGAAGTCAGAAACACCAATTTCGCGGCCTTCATCGACATATTCACCTCGAACACCTACGTGATGGTTATCATGTCCGATCCGACTATACGTGAGTATTCCGAATATTTCCCACGAGTATGCATAGACGCGCCTATGAAGGATACTCAAACCTCTTGTGATCCTCCGATCCAGCATCCGCGGCGACGCTGATCAACATACGCAACGCCCGGAAGCACTTCGAGAAGCTGGAACGCGCCAGTCAAAGTTCAGCACTGACCAGATAGAAGTCGGCGCGACCCAGGCGCCTCGTCACCCGGGTCCAACCTGTTAATAACTGTTGAATTTGCCACGCGAACGCGGGGAAGTGTTGCACCGTGTTGTGTTGTTGAGAAATAGGCGAGACGTGAACGACATGAGGGGGTGGGGGGGAGGGGGGGTACGTTCGATCGTTCGTTGGCGAAACTGGGTCACAAAGTAACTTTAACACGCGGCTTTCAACGTGAGCGTTTATGACAACGTAATTGTGTGCGTGATGCTCGGAGGAGGGCGGCTATACTCGATTATCTCTCGCACCGTTCATTAGGACTTTGATTGTAATGCAATTGTCATTCGTGTTGCATGTATATACACGTTTCGTGATCACCAATGCATCTTGCAGTTTATCGATGTGTGACAATGACTGCGTATACGCGCGACTGGCTCCGTATTTTCTGTATTCTGACTTTCGACTTGCCCGCGATACGAGTCCTTGATTGCGATAATGTTCATATATAATGTTAGTGATAAATAAATAAATAAAGAAACGCAGCGGAATCCTCTCTCGTTTTCCGTCTTCCGCCAGTTAACGGTTCGTTCATTCGGATTAGGAAAAAGAGAGACCTGTTGACTTAAGAATTAATTGAACTTGAAGATATCCGGAAGATGAACGGTCGGATAAATTTTGCACAAATCCTTTTTGAAACCGAATCTTTCCTACTTTTATTCGTCGAAACAGAATGACCGGAAGAAAAATGTAGCTTCAGCTCGAGAAATATAAGTGTACGTTTTAATTGTTGTGAATTAACGTTTTCCGCTGCAAGTCGTAGTTTTAAATCTCCCGCCGTTGCTCTGGTAAATGGCGGAATTGTGTGCTGTCATCTCGATACGTCTGGGGAAGCGAGTTTCTCGTGTTGTATTCGAATGCGACACAATGGACAGGATACTTAAAGGGATCATGAGGTACAGAAGGTGTCATCGGGAGGAGATGGTGAAGCAATTTCGACAAGTTCAGGATCATCCCGAGGTATGTTTGTGGTTTGAGAAATTTGCCTCCCGGGAATGAGAATTATCTCGCGTCATTTTCAGTAAGCAAGTGCGTGCGCACTCGCGACGCGTCAGCACGCACGATCCCACGTGTTTCTTTGTTGATAACAATTTCCTAACAAAATGGTCACGGGCCGTACCGCTCGAATCGTTCAATCTCGCGCGGATTGATTCCCCTCGAATTCGGCTACCATTATTTTCCCTCGTTTAGTCAAGTATAATTCGGAATACGTCCTTGAGCTATCGATCATGGACGATTATGATCGTAAGAATGCACGATGATTAACAACATCGTTTGTTTTGCGAAATATCTATGTTACCGACGGTTGTACAATGTGAACGCTTAGATTAGGTTGCATGTTATCGTTGTCGGGTAAGTTGTTACATTCAAAGCATCCCTGAAGGTGGCGGCACTATACGTTGTCTGTAAGTGTTCCTCCGACAAATATATTCTACCTTTTTTAGAAGAATTTTCGAAGAATTATATTCTACTTTGTTCAGATATTTTATTTTCTTATTACTCGAGAAGTTGTTCCACGAAAATAAATATGGAAAACAAAAAAAAATGATATATATAGGTATATATATTTTTTTTGAATGTAATAACTTACATCTCAGGTAACGACCGATTCTCATCTCTCTATGTTACCATAAATATTCGTAATTTGATATCTGTTGTTGCTCTTATCACAGCCAAAAGCAGTGTTCTTTACCTGCATGGACTCCCGGATGATTCCAACTAGATTTACGGAAACAAACGTTGGGGACATGTTTGTCGGTACGACAATCTAATATGACATTATCGCGTGTATTAATTGTGACGTATGATTTTCCGTTCTTCTCGATCTCGAACGCGATACACCTTCCAACGCTGTGTTTCCCGGAAGAAACGTGATATACGTTAGTTTATTAAAATCGGAGAAACCAAAGAAATTCACACATATCCGAATTAATATCTCCTTTTTTCGATAAGTTAAGTTTCTATTGCCGGTCTAATTTTCTGTTACTTCTTACTTGTGTTCTCAATCGAGAGGAGAATCTTAACCCCTTGACATACAAATTAAATGGAACTTAATGCGACCAAAAAATACTATTTAATTTCGCTCAACTGAACAGTTACGTGAAAGCTGAGAAAGAGTACATTTTATTTTGAAATTTGGATTTTTATTAATCAGATTGATGTTAACAAAGGACATCTAAATAACATTAAAAAATAATTATTTAATAGTTCTGCACAGTATGGAATATTTCGAAACATTTTGAAACATGTAAAGGAACTAAACATTTTTTGCACTGCCACGTTGTTTCACTTCTTACGTTGTTTTTCACGCACACGCGGCATCTCTTTGTAGGTAATTTCTTTTTATCAGTCGAGGGAATATGTTCCGGGAAATGTGCCCAACGTTTGGCCTGTAGCCGAGTCGGGCATTCATTTTGCGACGGTCTGCTACGCTTTGGATAGTTAGGAAGAGACAAATTATATAGCATGTCTTCTGCAATATTCTGCAATATAATGCTTTTTTGTTCTTGGGCCATCTCGAACGTTATAAACAAAGGAGAATCGACGCACGAGTGAAGCAACTATGTAATCTAATTGTAAACTGCACGGCGTCCGCCGAAAAAAGCGCTTGACGAGCCAGACTCGTCATTGTATGTCAAGGGGTTAAATCTTTTTCACCGCTCATTCTTATACATTGTCTTTGTATATTCATTTTAGATCATAATTCGAAATATTTCTTATAAGATAAAAACGTCGAAGATAAGGTGGTATTGTAGTTTTTGTAGATATCATGATTATAATGATAAGAATGATTATAATGAATTTCCGTTCCTTCCGAGACATTGGACGTCGTCGGACACGGTTTCCGGGATTTTCCGGCTCGCGGACGAAACGCGAGAGCGCGGAAGGGAAGTAACTAACGGGGAGCCCGCTTTTTCCAGTGCGGAATCCCGGCAACGTCGTGCCGCACTCGCAACATTTCGTCGACGAGTTCACCATGTGCGAATCGGCGGCGTTGGAGCTCGGTTGCGTGGTGAACGACATAAGGCACGTTATAGTCTGCGGCCACAGCGATTGCAAAGCGATGAACTTGCTGTACGCGCTGCGAGACGAGGAATTTGCGTCTAAAGTGCGTTCTCTCTCTCTCTCTCTTTCTCTCTCTCTCACTCACTCACCGGCCGTATTTCTTCTCTCACGAGAGAATGTATTATTTATCGCGTAACGAGATGCGCATTTCCTTTGCATCTCGTTGCTGCGCCATGCGCGTGCCGTGCGAGTAAAACCGGGGTCTACGATGAAAATTTCAGGCGTAAGATGAAAATAATCGACCGATCACAACCCCCCCCCCCCCNTAATTCGACCGTGATAGTTTAATTTCTTAAAGCTCCGAGCTTTAATCGCTTATTGTCGGCCGGGGCTAAAGCGGGCTCTGCAATGAGAATTCAAGTCGAGAACCCTTAAGATATCGACCGATCCCAATTGATTATTCTTCCATAATTCGAGACTGTGATCGTTCAGTTTCTCCGAGCTTAAAGCAGTTTTTATAGAGACCGGGACTAAAACGTGTCGCCGGCCGGATTTCAGACGAACCGGAGGATATCGCCTCTGCGAGCGTGGCTGTGCGCGCACGCGAGCAGCAGCCTGGCGAAGTTCCAGCATCTCGAAGTCGCCGGTTTCCGCGAGCCGATTGTTTTTCAGGCCGAGACGCCGCTGCGGAAATTCGTCGCTTACATCGATCCGGAGGATAGGTTCGCTATCGAGGACAAGCTGTCGCAAGTTAGTAGAGACGACCGCTCCGCCGGAGAACGACTGATTGATATACATTGATAACCGAGGCCGCACCGCTTCTTGCTTCCAGATTAACACGTTGCAGCAGCTCCAGAACATCGCGTCCTACGGCTTCCTGAAGAGGCGGCTGGAGCGGCACGACCTGCACATTCACGCGCTGTGGTTCGACATTTACACCGGGGACATTTATTATTTCAGCCGCGCCGGCAAGAGATTCGTCGAGATAAACGAGACAACGGAACCGTCTCTGCTTCGAGAAGTCAGGAAATATTATTCGTAGACACACTCTCACCCTCTCTCTTTCTCTCTCTCTCTCTCATTCGCGAGGAACACCGCGCATTTTCGCGCCGCCGGCATAATCGTTGGGTTATTCCAGAGGCTACCGCGAAAGTGGGTCGCGGGGGAACGATCGTACAATTTTGTATACTCGAAATCGAAAGACTCGTCCGCCTCCTATAAATCTCGTCGATATTTCCCTTTTTTTCTTCTTTTCCACGGGAGATCGCAGGGGGGGGATAATTAATAATCTTCAATTCAATTCTCGAGTACCACCGATGTGTTGTCGTCCGATGTGACGCGTTATATATATATATATATATATATTATAATATGCTATTGTGTGTAAAATGCCGTAACGGACCGCCACGCACGAGAGAAAAGAACACTTACTGTGGTAGAGCGCCGAATAATACTTGGCAAATTAATCGTGATTTATGGGACTAATTAACTAACGGATTTCGCGGGAGCGATCGGCATTAATATTCCGGTGCTGCCTAAATACGCCTGTCAGATAACCGGAGTAATCGCTTGCCGAGTGCCTCGCATATCGCTAATTGCTTCTGTCGAGTGTCTCGCTCAGCTGGATGCGACCATTCCTCGTCGACCGATCGATCGAGATTCGAGTCGGCACACATTCATACAGCGCATATGTAATAAATAGATTCTCCTCGAGGTAGAACTTATTTATCGCGTGACAACGCAAGTTATGTTTACGTGCGGGGTCTATTTATATCCCTGAAAATGTTTCAAGAGCTCGCGAGCTGTTCATGAAGATTTACGTGCGAGTTACTTTTCATACAGGGTGTCCCGGAGAGAATCGATCAGTGCGTTCTTCGTGTGACAGATTCTTCGGGACATTCTGGGACGGAAGGTTCCAGCACGAAGATCGCCGGCTTATTCGCAACGATTTTTCCGCGTACCTTTGTAACTAAAGCTTGAAGTGAACTTCCGTAAGAGGGAAGTCCGCTTGAAATCGATCGAAGAGGACGATTTCGTCGTCCGTTCGATCGTTCAGTTCGCGAGAATCCGGACAGCGTGCAATATTGATAAAATGTTAAAAAAAAATATAGACATTAAACATCTCATAAATATCCAAATTTCCGGGAGAGTCGGGTGCGGGGGAAATGACAATAAACAATGAAGAGTATTTCTGAAGAATCTTTTTTATACATAATAGTGACGTGATTCCACTCGAGTGAGACTGTGCTCGAGTGATTAATGAAAAATATTCGTCAGTCGGTTCACACTGACAGGACAGTCGGGGAACTACGACCGAAACGGTTGGATTACTTCATCTTCCGAGTTAAGTAATTGTTTTTCTTCCCTTCTCGGCGGCCAACGAGCAACGTCAGCGCTTATTGGCCTTGCTTTTCGTTTACTCAACGATTGACGATTATTTATACATAATATAAACCGCGTACCGACAATGTGACGTACATATATGGGAAGGCCCGCACAATACGTGCGCGAACCGTTAAAGATATAGACGGCGATATTTAGCGATATTGGGGACACGCAAAACTAGGTAAACGCGGGCCGCGCGTCTCCTGCGCGTCTTTCCTTCGCGTTTCGCGGCTCGCTCGGTGTGTCCGATGCGATCGGATTGAGCGAAAAGAGTTCGCGAGCCAATGGCAAGTGCTACCGATAGATAGATGGGACGGCTTCGGACGAACTAGAGCATGCCAGTTCCGAAAGAGAAAGCAAAACAACGAAAGAAGTCGGTAGGAATCGGAGTTGTACGCCGGTGGTGGATCGTCGTTAGGATCCGCGGACTGCGAAGCGCTTACGCGATGGCTACGAACTGCAAACTCCCGCGGCACGCGTGCCGTACCGCGCGTTCTATCGCCAGATGTAACGACGTAAACGCTCGGGCGAGTCGCACTAATCAACGCGAACGTCTTTCAGAGGCGAGTTCCCTCCGGATTTTCCCAGCCGACCGAAGTCGGAACTAACGCGGATTTCAATTAATAATAACGCATTCTCGATACCATCGAAAATACGACGTCGAAGAATATTTCTCGCGCCGGAAACGCAGGGAGCATCTGCGTCGAGGTGCGCGATTTTCCGGCGAATTCGATCATGCGTGTAATTTTCAGCGAATTGAACGATCGCTCGTCGAATATATGTTGAGACGAAATTATCGTTAGCTCAAGTGCACTCTTGTTTTCCTTGAACCCTTTGAGTGCTGAATTATTTGAAGATTTTTACGCCCATGGGACGGATTTAATTTGTCGCTATATGGATTAATATGTAAAAGTAATACATTTTATGCCCAAGTAAGCAGATGACGAGTCTCACTCGTCGAATGTACCGAAAGGGTTAACTACGCTACGACGTATAGTTACGGTATTATAGTTGCGCCGATATCACGTGTATATTTGTTTTCCTCTCTCACAGCGCGCGGAATTCGCGATCGAGGGAGCGTCTCGTGGCACGGTGACGAAATCGAAGCTCGGATATCGTGTGGCGCGTACGTAAATGCGAGATTACCGGCAGCCCCGGAGTTCTTGCGGCCCCGGCTGCGTAACTATGCGTGAAAAAGTGCGGCGCGCGTAGCTCGCACTTTTCCGTACGCCGGCAGCCGGTAAAAGTGAAGAGAATTCCCCCCCGGTTTCCAGAAGAATCGTCCAGTTAGGCCGGTTAGGCTGGCGCATTGAACGCAGCGGTGGAAGAAAGAAGGAAGGGATGGAAGGAAGAACGGAATCGCTCGTAGACGACGACGGCGACGACGACGAGAGAATTCACTCTCCATCGATGCCCGCGTGGCCTCCCCCCCTCCTCCGCTTCAATTACTCGCCGACTAATTATATTAATTAGACTCATTTGATTATTTAGCTTCGGCTCCGTGGATCAGCGAAACATACGTTTCGTTGCTCGTTGATAAAAGTAACATAACATCCGTTCCACACTTTTACGGAGTGTGTCGATCAGTCGTTGTCCGGGACACCCAGCAGAAAACGTGACTTCGAAATTCGCGCACGTTGTAGGCCGGCTGTGTTAATGCAAATATGTGTTAACTGGCGGGTGGTGCCCAGTTGGCGAGACCAACTTGTCCGACGTCGCGCTGCGATCGAACAGTGACAGCCGGTCTGCCGTGAGGGTGTCAACATTGGCTTGAAATATAGCAGGCATCGGGCAACCGGATAAAAACCAAGTATCAGTAACGTAACGTCGACGTTATAATGTCCGACACAATAATATTATATTTACCCGGCACTATTGTAACATTGACACGTCAATGATATTTGGCGTTCATTGAAAAGATCCAGCCGTGTCTGGGACCGCAACTAAGCGATTCCTCGGTGAATCTATCAACGAAATCCTCGTGAATCTATTATCGAAATCGCCGAATGTCGATGAAACGATTCCAGGAATGTATTTTAAAGATGTCGAATATTAATAATATGAAAAAAAGTGATCTTTTCGAGATTCCAAAGCAGAATACCTCCTTAGGGCGCAGCGCGCGATCAACTTGCCAGTATTTTATATCCGTACAGATTCGTTTCTGGATGGTAAGGCTATCTCACAGTAATTTCACTTAATTCCCACGTCGTTCGCTCTTCGTCGGGCGACCGATAAACAAGGAAAACAAAATTTATTTACCGGGGCAACTTCAATCAGAATAAATGTCATTCGTTACTCTGCCATTTCAAACATTTACGTATCTCAATGACAGGTACGCTTTTCAACCAGACCATAAACACCGCTCTTTTTTACAGAAAATAAAAGCCACCTTTCCTTGTCTACTAAATGTCAGGATTGGAAACGGGAATGTTCCGACGCGCATATGCCGCGTGGCTGCTGGAACTTTTCTCCGGGCGCTTCGGCCATTCTCGATTTATGAAATGAAACGTTTCAGCGCCGGCTGAGATTTTAATGTTCGTCGACGAGCCGCGAATAGGAACGATGTCACGATTTTGCACGATCTCCTTTTTTCGCGTTACACTCGTCCGAGAAAAAGAGTGCGTGGCCAGTGGTGCGTGCCGAAGCATAACGCGTTCTGCAGCCACCGCTGCGATGGCATTACCACTTCGTTACGCTCGTATCTTTCCGAAACTTTACTGCCTCGGTCGTGGCGTTATTTCGTCGTGCCGATGGGGGAGGGGGAGGGGAACGGTCGGACGGTGCGAACGGTAATTAACAACAATGGCGCACAACAGCGCTCACGTAATTAATTAGCAGGCCGAATACCTCGGTAGGTCGTCTAATGTGAATGTCTGCCGAGTTGTGTGTGAAAGGTGCTTCCCGCGTGGAGGTGTGTGTGCGCCGCATATAAATAAATCGAGTCGAAAATCCATTGTTGCTCAGCACCTCAGCGGAAATGGTTAATCAGAAAAGAGGACCAGATGAGCTACGAGCTTGGAACTTTGGCGAATGTCCGCGAATAGGAATACCGGAGTAGTTGATTTTACTCGGATCGAGTGAATATTATTTGATTGTAGCACGCCGGAAGAAAGAAATGTTACACATTCAAGTGACATTTACCGAATCCAAGTGTAAATAAATGACTTTAATATCGCCCGGCAAACCTTCACTTGAACGTAGCGATTTCATTTTAGCGCACTTCGCGAGTGAGTTGTAGTTTCGTTGTTTCGAGTTGCAGTTGTAATAACGTCCCTACGACGTGTGGGATTCGAAGGTACCTGCGTTGAACAACACATTAATCATCCTAAGTGCGGTCATTTGTCTGGTTCCATTCGAAAGGATCTGGGAAACCCTTTTTTTTTTACCAAAAATATGAAACGTGGGAAATTCCTTTCTCCTCGGAAACAAAAAACCACCTGCGCATCTTCTTTGACTCTTAATGTTTTCAGTCGCTAGATAATCCCTTCGGCTCGATCTTCTCAATGTCAGGATATTCTCAGAAAGCCGATCATAAATTTCGCCGTGCACGAGATGCAAAATTGATGTTTCCTTCCCGGCTTGATTCGGCGGCCGATTTTCGACGTTTCCGAACAGGCCCGCAGATGCGTCTCCAGCCGAATTTAGGTCGAGGAAGTCACGATACGGTTTGACACGATTTTCTCTATCCGTCGGTCGAATGTCAAGGTGTAGGTCCCGGCTTACCGGTCTCATGTACTTACTACGTGTTTGGCCCCTTCTAAATACTCGCTTTGTAACGCCCGAAATTCCAAGCGAGACCGTTAGAGCTCAGCGTTTAATCGTACAGTCATGATGTAATACTTCATACGCAAGTCCTCCATCTTCTTCCTCTCGACTCATTAGGCTCCGTTATCTCCCGCGTCTTTTCATATATTACGTCGTCCTCTTAACGAAAATTTCTCTGAAAACTTCATGTTCCTAATATTTCTTCTTCTTCGATCTTGCGGACTTGCGATGTTACCAAATCCGCTTCGTGTTTTCTCACGAAGAAGAATCGGAGGATACGATTGAAATTGTTACGTTGAAACTGTAAATAAATCTGATAACTGTAAGTAAATGCTTCTCGAAAGGCATACTGCAGGACGATATCCCCGGGTTCTCGCGGGTCTCCGTCGAATATACGATCGCACGAAGTTGCGTGGGTCAAGCATGTCGCTTGCGAAAATATCGTCATGTCCGTCGGACTTATTAGGCAACTTCGTCCACCACGGTGTGTCGAATGTCCACCAATGATATCGTGCATTTTTGCACGGTGTTCGCAGAACGTAACGGCGTCAGTGGCGGTCGTAATTATAAAATGTCGCAAAAGAGTGCAACGAACTCGCGAAGCGGTCGCCGCGGCGCGGTGTGTTTCCGCTAAAGACCAGACGACGTTCTTACAAAACGATTATGTTAGCATTGCATAAGTACATTCGTGCTATATTTGATCATTTTTTAATCGGTCGTTCAACGAGGACAGCGCGATACTCGAGGGCCTTCTCGAATTCGTCTCGGTTGACTCGAATTGTGAACAGTGAAAATGTGATATTTCCAAAATACAATAACCAAGAAAATCCAAAATTAGAAGTAAAACAATTAAATGAATTGTTGAAAGTGACCGCTTTTCGCCATGATTCGACACCCTTCGGTCTTCTTTCTCAAAGATTGTCGTACACGCTCGAAGATACCGGATGTGTTGAAGA